CAGGCTCTGAGTAAGATCTTTTCTAATCAACAGTATCAGTAACAGTAACAGGACGGCTTGGCTGAGTGGTAACACCTTTCGATCAGATCTTCTGAGCTCTTCTCATTTCGATACGGTAGCCGTGATGTTCAGTCGAAGTGAAATATTATAGCCTTTGCTAACCTAGGCGATCTCCTGAACTGAATACTTTCAAATGCTCTATAAAAAGCACTGTTTAGTTATTAGTATTTTGAGCCATTAAAGTGAACACGCCGTGCTCGTTAGAGTTCTTTCAAAAGTCCTGCCCCGAAAAACCCCTCCTAAACTTTATGGTGCACATGCGGCTGATCTCAATGGATTTTCAGGTCACCTGATTGTCCGGTATTCATCATATACCTAATAAGAAATATCCGAGGAAAATAAATGCAGCCAGTAGTAGCTAATTTAGCAGTTAGAGCAGAAGAAGCTAGAGAATTAAATAAGCGATCAAAGTCAAACAAAAGAGGAGGAGAGAAAATATCACTCACGGAACTAACATTTTCTTTTTTAGAATGGTTGGTTTAGAATGGTTTTCAGAATGGTGTGGTTAGTTTGATCAGTAAATAAATGATTTTGTTCCGTAGGACACGAATAGCGCACAGATAGCGTTTATTCCCGTGCTTGTCCCTGCTCCCTAATCGTGTGCCGCGATTGAATGGGGGTCCCTGCTCCTTAATCGTGTGCCGCGATTGAACGGGGCAGGGACTAGGACGCGGACTAGGTATGGAAAGAAAGTTCTGCAACACTCTTTCTAAAATTTTCTTTTTTCTGAAAAATTCATAGGTAACATTTATGACTAACAAATGGTAGAGCATTCTCGAGGCTTTAATCCACGAGGTGGATATAAGTGCTGCAGTCAGTAGTTATCCAAGAAAATTCAAAAACCTCGACCACTAGTAAATCCATACTCCGAGTCACTGTCTAGTACAAATGTCTCCATAACTATGGATTCGTGTCAAAGACCAACACTATCTGCAATAGCTTCAATAGGCATGCCGTTCACCGCTACAGCGTGTTTCACCTTTACCAGCGCTTTCGATCTTTTGATATTTACATTTATTTATTTATTTATTTATTTATTTATTTATTTTTATTTTTTATTTATTTATTTATTACGTTGCATAAGGCAATCGTGGGAAATACAATCGTAATAAATCACTCATGATACAATTAAAACTCATCAGCATCTCAATTGAATGACAAAGGAAAATTCATCACATCACAAAGGGAGGATCAGGAAGAAAGTCAATTTCAAGATCCTACGAAACTTCATATTTGAGTAGTTTTTGCAGATATTGATAATTTTTTATAAGAAATCACACGTCCCTACTACACTACACATTACAGTTAGGGCCTCTTTACGGATCCGCTTCCATTACAAGAATGAGTAGTTATGGGCACCAACGTGTAGTAGGCTCTGGGACACCAAAAGTGAGCCGAGGCAACTCGTCAGGAGCCCTCGTACCGTGAGAATATTCATTTCTTTCACGACATTGCGAATCACCATGATCCAAAATGAGGTCGGTAAGAAATTCTGGAGCTGCGGCAAGATTTGCTTCCTCTCTTAGCGTATTCCCCTGGTCGAGCTATAAATGACTGCCACCTATCCTGGACCTTAAATCATCATCTTGATGACGAAATAATTAGACGATCAACTCCAACTCGAAAGTGAGGTCGCCTCCTTTCTCGACCCGCACTCCGCTGGGTTTTGGCAAAGGAGCATCAAGAAATTTTCTGAGCGTTGGAGACAAGTGGTGGACACTCATGGTAGATATAAGACCGGTCAGGAGTTGTAACCAAAAAAGATAAAATTAAAATCAAAAATTTGAAAAAGTGTTGCAGGACTTTCTTTCCAACCTAGTAAATAAACGTTATCTGCGCTGCTTCTCAAACCAGTGAAAGGGAAAGTAAAAAAGGAACCCTTGAAATCAACTTGCACGCCGATCCTAGAGAGTTGCTTGCGCTCCGCGGATAGGAGTACCATTGGTTAGCCGTTCTTTTGATGTGGAGGAATACGGTAGAATACGGTGAAGACACAAGGCTGCCAATGAGATTCTCGTAGCGGCTGAGCGCATTGCCCGCCCACACGATCGCGCGATGTAACTTGAAGGCTCTCGATTGTTCTTCGCTCTCTATTATAACGTGGATCAATCAACACAACTACTTCGACTTTCGATGCGCAATGAATAGTGGCCCTCCAACGGTGCACTCGAGGGGGCATCGGGCATGGTGGCAGCCATGTATGCCACACCTATTAAATTTATTTTTTTCGCACATGCCCGACTTCTTACCAAGTTTTTATGCCAGAACATAGGCAATACAACATCACAACCAAAAACTATGTGGCTCACAGAATGGCCGAATATTCTTAAAGGCACAACCCAGGCAGAGGTTTTTTATAACTCTTCTCTTCGGTCAGAAGTATAGAACCCTAGGGGACAATCACAAATGTGGCGTTCACGTGCACGGAATTCGACCGACAAGAACGCTTTGGGCTTGCAAAGTAAGCTGCTCGAGCTGCAGCGAACGAGCTCTCTTATCAGGCCGTTGTCTGGTGCTCTCTCATCTGATGCGCTCTCGCCCCATACTCTCCTCTTCGCGCTTAGTCTCTCGTTCCTTTAGCACAGCCAATTAGGAAGGTGAGTGAGCCCTCAACCTGAGCGTTTTCGACGGATTCTTTTCCTTTTTTCTTCACTGCCGGCCCACTTGGCACCGATACATTCACATTCGTGTGCAAGAGCCACACCAGTGCGATCCTGGGGCATGCCTTTAAGTTAGGCAGAGATAAAATTTCTGTCTAGTTTATCTCTCGTTTCTTTTTACTATCGTAAACACGTGTATGAAAAAGAGTAATTGAAGTGTACACAAAGTCGCAATTTGCTTTTATTGCCAATTATATAAATTATGTTCATTCAACGCTTTTCCCTCCCTTCCTTACTGAAGAGCACGGAGGGAGGGTATTTCTTCCAGTTTGGCTTCCGTCTAAGGGCACGTGCGAAACGGAAGTCGAACTAATTCTTTGATTATTCCCCCTCAAATTTTTCTAAGTTCTATGTTTTTTTACTCAAACATAGCATACCTTTTTGATGAAGTGTTCCGAGCCTGACGAACGATTTAAAGGTAGTGTTTCGGAGCCGGGAAGGAGTGGTGGCTGGCTTCTTTATGAGCAACACCCGCGAGGCGTGATTTCATTGAAGTTGAAGGCAGAAACTGCCTTCAACTTTTACACCGAACGATGGTTGTGACAGCTATGTCACTGAAAATGAGGGCTCTCTTGAAGAAAAAGCTGGCACTGTTTACCCTTCACTACCCCAGTATCCGATGAATGGGCCAGAATGGGTTTTCTTGGAACGAGCTTAGACTGCACTAGGAGTTGCCTTCGGAATTAATTTTTTCGAAGAATAGGCAGATAGCATTCATCAGGCGAACTCGCGCTTGCTCTCTGAACTACTTGGAATGGACCAAATGAAAATTTAGTCGAAGAAGAACAGGATCATTACACATATTTGTTCGGCGCTGGTTCCTGTGGAGAGGACTCAGGCCGAACGGAAGTGATCTCTGTATTGCCGGCTCGAACAACTCTCAGGAACAAGTCTGTATACAAATCCAGGAACAAACTCGGGGAAATTCATTCTGGTTCTTGAGCACAGACAGCGCCATTGCTGAAAAACTGGTTCTCATGCTCGAGCTGCGTACGTGACTTGACCGAGTGCATCGGGTTCACCTCCCATCGTCAAAGTTTTAAGAAATGACACAACGTGACTCATCTTCTCGAGAAATGAGCATCTCGATCTATAAATAAATCGCACATGAGTGACTGACATATCACCGTGAGATCTCTAAGGTCCACCTACGAGTACCAAAGAGCTAATCAGGAAAGTGTTTCAGCTTCCCACGAAATCTTGAATTAAGGCCTGGGTGAATCGATAGAGCCTTGAATGTTATGAAAAGCAAAGCTACTACACGAACTTGCCAAGGAGACCGCGAGCGATCAAAATTGGGTTCTAAAGACAAAATCCGGGATAAAACTAGTGAAAAAGAGCGGTGCGTAGTGATGGCTGAGCTGCGGAATGAACTGAAAGTGGAAAGGAAAGCGAGAGAAGTCTTTGTGAAACCTTAGCCCACAGCAACGTAAGATGTGGTACGATAGCGAAAGCAGGTCGACTCAACAAAGACAAAGCAGCTCGGAAACCACGTCGTTCGAGAGATTACGCTGATCTCTATAGCAATAGCGGAGGGTGGGAAGCGTTGCAGCGAGGGTTGATGGTTGCAGGTTCGTAATGGATTAGCGCCCCATCGCGCAACTTGGATAACGAATATGGCGCGACCTAGTAGGGTATGGATTCACGGATTTTCTCGTTTGATACTTTCCTCCTAGCCGGTGCTGATCCATTGGTATTAGCCTCATTCATTGGCTCTTAAGCGGTTCGCATAGATGGCCAACTCTATTTGCAGAGGATGGAATCATGATTGTCCCTCAACGAAAATGATGTATATTCTCGCGCGAGCACTATTTGCACAATTCTGAAAACGCAAATGGATGCAACTATTGTCAAAACACGGGGGATCTAATATGACCACCGTGACGCTATAAAACTTAATGACAAGGACCAAGTAGGTTGCAGTGTTAGATACTTCATCATGTTAACACCATCCGCAAGCGTCTTATCGATTTACTATATATAGAGGACTCATTTGCAATAGTTCTCCATGGAAATGGGAACAAATTCCTTAGGAAGATGACGTCGAGTACTACATTTTTCTAGCGATTTCGTCCTTAGATTCATATTATGATGTAATATATTCACGAAATCATGTTCAGATCGAAATCAGGCTATATTAAAACAATACATATCACTTCATTACATTTTCATATCACTACATTTTCTTATCACACTAATCGAGGCACGTTTATCACAGTATTATCGATCCGCATTTGAGATGTTTTATGAAATGTCGTTTGGTTTCATCTGTAGCGTGATCTAACCAGTGGGCTCCAAACTGACGTGCGGATAGCATACTGTAAACTGCGGTGATTCATCGTGGCATAGAAAAAACAAGGAACACTACGTTTGGGACGACTGAAGAGAATATCACTCAAGGGCCATTCCGTGCATACGTGAACAGCTATGGTCAACGATGACGTAGAAGTTGCTTCGCTCCATCCATTCAGTACTACAAGCGATGACACTGCCGGGGCCAGGAAAATATTCCAAAGTTCGAATTACGAAACAGTAATGGTACCAGGAAAAGCAGAATTCCATGTCTTTTACTTGATACGGAAAACGCAGTTCGGGTGGTCGGAGATTATATATTCGAGCATAATTTTGATGTCAGAAACAGACATAGACTTTTATTACACATCAGATATCTATGAACTGATATCTATCATATCTCATAAACTGCGAAAATTAAGAGGGCGTACAGAGCATTGCTTGATATCCAAAATTCTATCGCGATGTATTGTGCTAGAGATAAGTTTAAAAAGCTGAGGATAGACTGCTGCGGTATCACGTGAAATGTCACTACAATGTAGTGACCATGTCATGGATGCACGGGATGCATCGGCGGCTTGCGCACCTGGACCACGCCAGAACGTGGGAATTATGGTGCCCACACACCCTAAGGGGGTTACCTGTCGCGCTGAATGCTACGACGCCTTGCCACGGGCATTAAGGCCTGACCCCTTAAGAAGCTACGGCTTGTGTGCTACACTGTTGTTGTACTATGATTGCAACTAGATAAAGAAGGTTTTGACCGTCTACGTTTTACACAGAACTACACCGTATTTAAAGACCGGTTTATGATTTGCACTACTTAGACAATAAAGAGAAGGACACATATACAGGGGGGGGGCCAAAAAAAAAGACATTTTGCCTCCACTTCCAGATGGATTTAAGCACATTTTACTCAACTCAGACCGAACGGTTCCAACTTATTATTAAAGAGTGCATTCCATTCTATAAGAAAATCTTCATAGTGGCCACGTACGTGGACGGCATCAGAAGAATTAGCCCTGGAAACATGGTGCACTGGTCGATCTCAATGGGGTCTTCGAAGGATCGTGTACCATAACGACCCTTACTGGAAAGCTAGTTCCGAGGGGATTTGCACAGTGGTAGCTAATGCCTCTAGAAAACTATCCAACATTAAATCGATTCACGAAATTGCGTAAGAGCTTCAGGCTGAAGCTCTTACGGTAGACCTCCTTGAGCTGACGACGGTACTAGTGGTAATTATTTACGTAAGACGGGTGAGGGCAGTGAAGGAGAGCCTGCGTACACTAATAGAGGAACACTTAGGGAATACTCTGCTGAGGAACTCCCGTCAACGACAGCAATCTCTGCGAAGAAAAAAGAGCCGAAGTCCGACATAGGCAAAATGTCTTTTTTTTTTGCCCCCCCCCTGTATATATTAAAAACGGTGCGAGCCAATAATGAATGAGAGAGAAGTAAGTAGAATGATCAGTATATGCCATGATCGGCATGTTGCGTGTAATTCCCAAGGGTTAGGTCGTAGACAACTTGCTTGGACCACGATTATAGCCGGAGCAGAGGCTCTCAGGGGAACGAGGCGAAGGACAACTAGCCAGTAGCATTGAAATGGTTCATGCCGACTGACTGCGGAAACGAATTCGGTCGTGGAGCGAAGCGTTCACGGCACCGACACTGGATGCTTTGAACTCTAATACGACAATGCATGCGCGCTGAGACTGGCTTTTCCGCGCGCTTCCAGTGCTTTCCATGCTTCGCGGTAAGACCGCATGCGACTTCGAATGGAGCGCGGTTTCATCCCGGCGCATATCGTAACCCCAGGTCGTACGCAAGTCACGACAACCAAGCAACTCGAGGCTTTGCGTCAAAGGTGGTTGAGGTAGGTTCGATTGCGAAATAATATTGTATTCTTCCTCGATTCTTGGTCAATTGTTTGTTACATTCAGGTCCTGAATGCATTAGCTATTTTTCGGAGTCTAGTTTTTTGAATCTCCGTAATTTGTGCCACTCCGTATACTTTTCATAACCCCAAAGCCGATAGATTCACGTGTTTCGATTGGTAAGAATTTTCTAAAAATTAAATAATGGATCTACTAGTTATATATCTATTAACATTATTTATCTATTAATTCTCTATACAGTTTCTTAGTAAGGCAATTTTCCCTTTTTTTCTGGTTACGAGAGCCCGATTTCGCCGATTCTCCTGTTCCTTTTTACCTCGTCATGAACTAATAATAAGCAGGAGAGCTCACTTCGTCTGAGGAGGACAACGAGTCATGCTCATGGCTTCCAGTGGACGTCCTTCATCAGATGTTTCAAGAACACTCAGCGACTTTGCCTGAATACTATTGAATAGAATACTGATTATTTTTTTACAAACGTCAACTCAAATTAAAATGTTTCTCTCATGGAACAATTTGAGCGCCTTGAAAATTGACGCTCAAAATCAATTTCTCACTAGAGACCATTTGACTATATCAACTTACATATTTCTCCTATTAGTTCCTGAAATGGTAAGAATTCTGTGCAGAACTGATGCGCGTTGGACGCACGAGCGGTGACTAGCGCCTTATTTGCCGCTGAAAGACGGAACATACCGATCCAGGGTTCAAAATTAACACATTCCACGATAAAATGTGCAGGCAGTGAAGTTATGACACGAGATGCTAATGACTAAATTGAGCAAGAAAAAACCCAACGAAACTGAAGAAAAATGCACAAAATAAGGTCCTCTCGCCACAGTTGACCGATACCTTCCCACCCACGCTAAGAGAGTACATATCGGAACAAGAGACATTGACATCGAGACGACGAGAGAGGATCGAGATAAGAGGGGCACAACGGGGCGAGCCTGTTAGCAGTGGCAGGGCTGACAGCGTTCGGTGCCATAATTCCATGAGCTAGCGCTATTTGAAAGGAACTACACGTTATCAGACCAAACGACCTAAAGTAATTTCAAACTTTCCGTTCAGAGGATGAGTGCTAATGGTACTCGATTATGAAATGGTAGTAAAGGCAAGCCTCGGGATAAAAATTGTGTAAGAGTGCTCAACAATGGTGTTGGGGAGTGGGCTGAAACTGAAAAAGAAAGCAATATCACCAATATCACTGATTGGTGGCCTAAGCCTTCTGAAAGGTCAGGCGTTGCACAACGGAGACCAAGAGCGAACAGAGTAGACAGAAAACGCGACGGAGCACATCGTAAGAGAATATGAGAGGCGTGACCGTTGCGGTTGTCTCTAAGAAACCGCCGGTGAGCCGGTAGTTGGGAGCATTGGTTACAGTGGTTAGGCCCTCGGGCCCTTGTCGCACTCTTTCAAGTGAATGGCGCGTCCACGACGTTTACACACAGACCTGTTCTACCTACGAATCGGTTTGCTGTAGTGGACTCAACCCGGACCCCCTTGTCTTTAGGGTTGCTTGATAACGGGGGAGGAGGGCAAAAGGATATCGAGAACACTTTATGTGAGGACTTTCTTCGTCGATGGTTCTTGCAAAAAGTCTACGCAATTAAGATTGTTACCATAGTCCAGATGAGAAGCTCGTAGTCCTGTGAATCCAGCGAGTATTTTCCCTCACCGTACAACAGGACATCTGTTGAATACGCCGGAGGGCCATATATTTGTACTGGACCGCTCCTTCAAAAAAAAACTTTATGCTTTTCCGAAATTCATAGCTAACCTCTGACATAAGGAGTGCTTACCGCAGTGCATCCTTATGATTCTCAATGTATTCGAGTAGATTCATAGGTTTTGCTAAATCGACAGGAACAGGTTCAAATGGAGCGTTGATCAGAAAACTTTTTGGACCAGGAGTCTCTGAAATACGATAACTTCAAGCTAGCAATTCTTGACCTGAACCTTTTTCAGCTTTCTTCTACTACATGAACAAATCTGCAAGGTTTCAGATCGACTAAGAGTGTACGATGCTCATGTGTTCCCATTCTCTCACTTAGAGTGGTTCGATGGGTACTCAGCTAGTTTAATTTCCTAAATGTGAAGCTACTTTGAAAAATCTGCTTGGTAGAGGTGGGGATAGGAAAGTTGTTCCCGAGATTAACAAACCTAATCTTTCGGATCGGCACATAATTTCTGATATACCTTTGCTTTTTCTGATATTCATATTTTTCTGAGGCACATATCCAATTTAGTACAATCACACAGCACCACATCGTCAACGATGTTAAGTGCCTCGCTTATAGATTCGCATTGAGTTCTGCTAGGAGAAAAATTAGATGTCAATTTTCACATCATGGTGGTTGGAGTAAGGTATTTTTCCAGAAGGTGGACCTGAGAGTTGAAGAGGTCGTTCTTTGGCGCGATGATGTTGCCACACTGCAGAGCCGAAAGAACTGCCGCCTTAAGAGTCTCCAATTTTTTATGAATTTTCTTCGCAAGGTGAAGTCGAACGACCTCAGGAAACTTCGGGCTTTGTCTTGCTTTGCTTTCAATTGAACGCGTCGCCATCAAGCTGTTGACGTTTGTCCTCACCACTAACCCTGGTATTTATTGCTGGTTCAGCAAAAATCTCTCCAGAATAATTCAGAACGACTTAGCATTCTGAAGGAGGTTGAATTTGCTGCAGACTCTCGAATGGTTCAACAGGCATTGCCGGCATGAGAGAGGATTGCCTAGGTTGATTTTGGGACGCTCCGATAATATGTTGGATGGCATATGACGCACGTGAGAAACCAACGGAACCTCCCACATTGAGTCCAATTGTTGTTGAGTATCTCGGGGCTCAGGCAATGATACAAACTCCATATTTCAGATGACGACTCTATTCGGTGTCTCAGTATTCCACTTTATCAACATCAGAAGATTCTAACAAACAGCTAGATGTCAGACTCATTTACATCTGCTGCTCAGCATTTGGTGTTCGATAAGACGAGTTGGTGTGGTAATATCAATATAGAAAGCTAGCCGATCTAATAATCTACCGGCGCACCAAGATTGAGGCTAGGCGCGATCCATCTACTTCTGTCAAACCATTGCTTGCGATTTGAATCCCAAGGGTAGAATTAGAAAGAGGCACAGAAATAGCTTTCAAAGAAACTGCAATCCTAGCTGAAGAATGCAACAAGAATGAGGTGGCTAGCTTTTTAGATAGGTGAGCTAGCGTATTATGTTGCAAGATATGCAGGCAAGCTTCTATATTTCTCGAAGATTTTGCAGCAATGCATATATTGTGTCTCAGAGATTACGTGCTGACCTATGCATAGTGGAATCTTTGGCTAGAGTAGCAGTTGAGGTTGCTGGAGGTTTGCCCATCACTTAGAATCTGCTCGTCGACTGAAGATCTAACGATAAAGAGGAGATACTGACTTTGACCTGTTCATTCTGCGCGAACCATTCATGCGTCTCGACACTTAAGTGGGCTGGAAACGCATGGCGTATCCAAAGTAGATTGTTCACGCTGAACGCATAACCTTCCATCCTAAGTTTCGACAGTTGTAAAGTAACTGAAGCAAGGGGTGAGTTACCTGTTCTGCACTCTTCTGATGAGAAGAAGCCTCTAATGAGAGGTGGCAGATCCCGCACAACATCACTAAGATGAAACCACCGTTCAAAGAGACGCGTCGTTGTAGAACCAACAAAGTATCTAAAGCAGGATTATTATGAACTGCACCTGAAACATTCAACAATTGAGTTTTGTATTTTTAGATAACATCTCTATGTGGTTGCAGTCAGATGATAAAATATGGTCCACTGACGTGGTGGAAGGTCGTGAGACAGATAGTTGGACAAATATAATATTATAATTCCGAATGATTTGAAACTACCGAGTTTAAGCAGCTGTTTTTTGGAGTACTATAATTTGATTTTTGATTTCGTCATGGAAGGGTCAAGAAACATGAAAACTTGTAAACAAACTGCGAAAACAGATAGTCTGGTCTGTTCCAGCAGTTCTCATTTTTTGGTGCCCCAGTTTTGGTTGCACTGCACACTCTTATCGGAAATATGTTTCTACTCACTTCTAATATTTTGTCCGGAGTCTGATTTCCGATAATAATTATTAGATACCAGATATCAAACAGATGGCCCAACTGTTATGTAAATTTACAACAAAAAACATACTGCACGGGGAACTTCACGGGGAACTTTACGGGAACGACTAACAGAACCACCAGCTCGCCGCGCCGCCGCGCGCGACGAGTTATGCGACGAGAAAACGGCGACCTTCGGACGAGTATTTCTCCAACGCCTAGCAAGAACCTCGTCGATCTTCACGCCCATGCTTTTTCAAGTAAATTATTAAAGGCACAACCCAGGCAGTGAAGCTTCGCTTCCGGTCTGTAGTATAGACCCCTAGAGGACAATCACAAATGTGGCGTTCCCGTGCACGGAAACCAACCGACAAGAGCGCTTGGGCCTTGCAAAGTAAGCTGCTGAAGCTGCAGTTTTTTCTCTTATCAGGCTGTTGTCTGGCGCTCTCTCATCTGTAGCGCTCTCTCGCCTCATACTCTCCTCTCCGCGCTTAGTCTCTCATTCCCTTAGCACAGACGATTGGAAGGGTGAGCCCGTCACGTTGGACCGATTTCAAAATTTTTACGACCCCCGAGAGTCTCCATACGACCCCCCCCCC